AGTCCGGCGTCAGGCGCTGTCCAGCCGCGCACGGCGCCGGCTTCCGGGGCCTGGAGCGCCACCTGGCGCCGCGGAGGACCCGCACTCGGCCCAAGTCTCCAATCCCTCTGAGCCCTGGCCCAGATGTCCTTGTTCCCTGCGGCCACAACAACCCTGCCTGGTGCACAGACTTTCTCTACGCTGGCTTTACCCCACCCCAAACCGAACGACTCGTTGCCCAAACTTGCTAATGTTAAAGAACCATTTATGACACTTATTAAAGATGGTAAGGCAGGCTTTATTTAAATGGACTGTGATGCGGCAGGCGAGAGATTGGACTCAGTTCTGACTCTAACGAGAGCGTAAGGACAAGTTGGGATTTATAACCAAGGAGCAGGGTGGAGGTTAGTGAATGGAAAATTGCTAAGAGGAAAGAACAGGAGCAAGGGGGATTCTTGCTAGACTGGTTTAACAGAATTCTCACTCAATGCAAGCCAGGGTGAAAAAATACTGATGGTGGTTAGACACCAAGAGAGGGGATTTTCACTAAACTCATTTAGCAGGATTTTGCCCCAACTGTATTCCACAAAGGCTTAGAGCCCAGGGTTGGTCCTGGTTGAGCAGAGGACTCTGGGGAACCCAGGTTTTGGACAAAGGAGAGACTCCATAACCATCTTGGCCATAAGTTCAATAGGAGGTCACTATAGGGTAGAGATAAAATTGTAGAACCTTCGAGCTGAAAGGAACCTTTGAGTTTACCCAATCCCAGCCTCGTTTGTTAGTGACAAAGAAACCAGGGCCCATAGCATATCTCAAAGTAACAGAGATACAAGTAACAGAGCCCAAACCAGAACCAACTTGATCTATTGATCACCTCAACTCCATCAAGCACCCCTGGGGTTCAAGGGGAGAGAGATGTGGAATTAGGAGAAACTTAGGGTGCAAGAAAAGTGGGAAGTTCCTTCTGACTTCTAAGTCTTCATGTAAACAGGTGGTAAAGGAGAGGTCAGCAGAGAGCCACCAGAAACCCAGAAGTAACATCTGCAGTTAGCAGTGACACTGAAATTAAGTAAAAGGACTTGAAAGTGGACTGGGAGGGGCTGGCACTGTGGCACAGAGGGTTAACGCCCTGGCCTGAAGCAGCAGCATCCCCTGTAGGCGACAGTTCGAGACCCAGCTGCTCCACTTCTAATCCAGCTCTCTGCTATGGCCTGGGAAAGCAGTAGAAGATGGCCCAAGTCCTTGGGCCCCTGCACCCGAGTGGGAGACCTGGAGGAAGCTCCTGGCTCCTGGCTCCTGGCTTCGGATCTGCGCAGCTCTGGCTGTTGCAGTCAATTGGGGAGTGTACCATTGGATGGAAGACCTCTCTCTCTCTCTCTCTCTCTCTCTCTCTGCCTCTCCTCTCTCTGCGTTACTCTTTCAAATAAATAAATAAAATCTTAAAAAAAAAAAAAAAAAAAAAAAAAAAATGGGAGCGATCTCCTTGAATGTCCTAGTCCAGGCTGCTAAGACCTAGGTTGCTGTGAAGTTAAACTGATGAATATTTATTGTGCACCAACCATGTGCCAGGAGTTAGATATATAGCAGGGAACAAAATCATTCCTATCCTCAGAGAGCTCCCCCGACCCTGGGAAAATTTTACTTGTAAATATAGAATGCAAACTTAATTAATTAACCCATTCATTAATACACAAATATTTGTGTAATCCATTCATTAATACACAAATCCTGTGTGTTGGACACTGTGCTATGCTCAAGGGATATAATGGTACACAAAATTTTCTTACCCTCATTGGATTTAGTAGTTTAGACTTATATAGTTATGATGATATGAGATAATTTATATGGAGCTAATACTTTAGGGGTATTTAGGTAACACAATAAGGATTGGTTTTCTTGTTCCCTATGACTACAGTACCCACTCTCCCACCCTTAAAAATGTATAGTCATGTGTGGTAGCTAAGTTGTCACCCTGGATTTAGCACTAATAAGATGTTAAAATTTCTCCTTGTATTACATTTTATACCTGTAACATAAGGGCTTCCTTGCCTTTGGGGCTCAGCAAGTCTAGGAAGTATCTTGTCTTAACTGTCCATTACTCCTTTTCCTGGCTGAACCAGTTAAGGTAACGGAAAATAATATAATTATGTACTAATTTTACTGATGTAAGGAAGTGCAAAGGTTGTAAGCAATGCTATTTGCACACCACTGCCATCTAGTGGAAAATGTATAATTTTCAAAAACTTACACTGGGCAATGCATGTCTGGAGAATTGTTTGTCAGAATAATTAATGTTTTTCTTAATGAAATTATTAAAAATGAGTAAAACAAAATAAAAAAAGAAATATTGGGAAATTCTAGAAGCAGAATTTCTTTATTACTCAAAATGAGAAAAACTGTATTCAAGGAAAATAAGTTTACTTATAAATTAATCAAATCTAATAAATATATTTTTCTTTATGTGACTTACTTTAGACCAATTTATTTAGGTATAATTCCTAGATCATACAATTCACCCATTTTCAGTTGTTCAGTTAACTGGCTTTTAGTATGCTCACAGAGTTGTGTAAGCATTACCACAATTTTTGAACATTTCCTCACTCAATTATGACAGAATTGGGATGTTAAAAAATCATGCAACATGAATTGTATGTAAGCAAAACCTCTGAAATAGCTGAGTTTTAAAGAAAGTTTATTAATTAGACATATTAAAGATGTGCTAGACTTTTGCAGATTAAAAATTTCCAAGCTTTAAAACACAACGTACAGTTGTACAATTGTTTTCAATGCATGATTATTGGAATGACAAACATTTATGTTTATGTCACATGAAATTTGGATGTCTTTTGAAATTTTCCCCCAAAATCTCATGAATTTTTTAAAAGCAAGAAGTATACAAGTATTACATGTTAATTAAAATTTTAAATAAAAGATATAAAATATTTAAAAATTTTTGTGTTAAAAGACTTCAATCTCAAACTATGATGTAAATATAATGAGGTTTACTTGGCTGGTTGGTGATACTACTTTCCATGTATTATAGTCAATGAACTAAAAACATTTTGCCCTTTTTGCAAACTTTCTATAGATTTTACTACCAGTATTTTTTGGTGATCAATTAGTAACCTTCAGATTATTCTTTTGTCTTTTACTTATTTATTTTTAAATATATTTTATTTATTTGAAAGGCAGAGTTAGAGAAAGAGACAGAGAGAAGTCTTCCATCTTCTGGTTCACTCCCTTGGTGGCCACAACAGCTGGAGCTGCGTCAATCTGAAGTCAGGAGCTAGGAGCTTCTTCTGGGTCTCCCACATGGGTGTAGGGACCCAAGGATTTGGGCCATCTTCTACTGCTTTTTCAGGCCATAGCAGAGAGCTGTATCGAAAGTGGAGCAGCCGAGACTCGAACCGGCGCGCATATGGGATGCTGGCACTGCAGGCGGCGGCCTTACTGGCTACACCACAGCACCGGCCCCCAGATTGTTCTATGTGAATGTGGAGAGCCTCACTTTGTCCCATCTGTAAGGCTACTGGTAGTGATAATGTATGCAAGTACCTAGCCTGGCCTACGCACCCAAGAAATGGTTATTTTTTTCTTCTTGAGTTTGAATGCTTTCCTTTGAATTTGAGAATAGTATTTAACACTTGATTTTTTTTTCACAATGGTCTTTTTGTTTCTATTAGATGACACACATTATTTAAATGTGTAGATTTCAGGCCAGAATTCATAGGCATCATTTAGTGGCTATAGCTATTAAAGATAACAAAATTGGCTGTGGCACAGTAGGTTAATCCTCCACCTGCAGTTCCAGCATCCCATATGGGGCCGGTTCTCTCTTCTATGATCTGGGAAAGCAAGCCCCAAGCGCTTGGCCCCTGCACCTGGGCATGGGAGACCTGAAGGATGCTCCTGGCCCCAGGCTTTGGTTGGGTCCAGCTCTGCCCTTTGCAGTCATTTGGGGAGTGAACCAACAGATGGAAGCCCTTTCTCTCTGTCTCTCCCTTTCACTGTCTATATTTCTACTTCTCAAATAAATAAATAAATAAATAAAATCTTCTTAAAAAATAACAAAAATTAAAATGAATTACAATTAAGATAATTAAAAATTCAGTTCTCAGCTGAATAAACCATGTTTCCTGTCCTCAGAACCAATTTTCAGCTAATGAACAGCATCCACACAGGACATTTCCAACACAGAAGGGTAAACTTCCTACTTACTTAAATCCCAACATTTGCACTACTGCATTCCTAGGTACCTTAGTTGTTTGGGAAAATTATTTTAATATCCTTATTTTTCTGCCGTGCCACCCACTTCTTGCTCAGGTAAACAGATAAGCTACTTTCCCGACCCACATAACTACAACTTCACGTTCTCACCTCTGTGCCTTGGACACCCTCTTCCTTGTAGCTTTCTCAGTCCTTCCCTCCCTATTTCCTTCTCTTTGTCACAATCCCTTTTCGCAGTTTCTAACCCTGTTCTATTCTGCTTTTTTGTCAATTAGCACTGTCAGTTCCTACTTACTACATTTCTATGTAGTTCATGCATAATAACTTTATTGCACTTTACAACTTGCCTTGGCCAGTTGTAAACCAAGGAAAATCGGGGCTGCAGGATTCAGTGCTTGTATTTTCAAGCTGCTTACCACAGTCCCTTGTCTCATCTAAGCATTCATTTTATTTTGACATGATTTGATCGCTGTGACCAAATAATCTTGGATTAAAAAACAAACAAACAAACAAACAAAACAAAAACAAAAACAAAAACCATGGAACTCCCATTTCAAGGGAGACCTTGTAACACTGGGAATATACACAGATAATTTAATTCTTTGGTTAGGTAGAAGCAAACAAGCATAATAAGCCGGTTTCGAGCTCCTACGCTGCTGCTATGCTCCAAGTACACTCACTGTTCACGTTTAAGGCTTGGCCCTCGGCTCCAAGGCTTTCCGCCTCTGCGAGAGTTGAAGTCCCGCGAGACCTGGTGTCCAATCAGCAGCGTGGGTGGAGCCCGCCATTTCCGTGTCCACCGGAAGCACATGGCTGACCAGACCTGCGAGTGTCATCGAGGCCCTGCTGCAGAACCACCACCATCGAACTCGGGGCGCGGACTCCCGCCTGGCCGCGGCACAGGGGAGGAGGAGAGCAGAGCTACTGGCCCTGTGGTAGGGGCGGGACTGGCTGGGAGAGCCTGGGCTGAGCAGCCTTGCGGTCCTAACAGCGCAGTTTGGGCCCGGGTCTCCCTGGAGAGGAGGATCCAACCGTCCATTTTTAAGGAGTCTCACCCCAGCCCCTGCGTAGTAGGGTCACGTAGCCCCCACGTGCAACAGGAGACTTTTTGGTGAAGAGCCTCTCTGACGTGTGAGCCTTGCTCGCACACTTGACGTGGAGGCGGCCTCGCGAAGCGCAGTTTCGAAAGCTGGATTCGCGGTTCCAGCCTGGGGCCTCAGGTGCAGTGGCCGTTGCTGCCTTTGGGGGTTCACAGACGTGAGGGGATTCCCTCAGGGTCACGTGGCTGTGACTGCCCTCCGCTTGAGTATTCTTTCCAGAACAACAGGCAGAACCCCGCTTAATCTTTTTCCTTCTGTTCAGCATTCATCCTTGAAATACTCCAGTGAGCTTACCCCCCTCCTTCATCACTGCAATTATGTGGACTTAGTAAACGTTGGAAGTTTTATTAGTGCCTTCATTGTCTTCTTACACTGCAGTATGCAAATGGTGTAAACCAGCATTAAAACGTATTTCACCTCGTCCTCTTTAAGCACTCTCACTCAGTTGGGGAAAAAAATTAAGTCTGCAGTGTGTCAGCTATTGTGTTCAATACAGGGTGGCCTAGCTAATTCTTCAGTGGGTAACTACAGATTTTTATATTGCTTCACCTCTCCCCTTTCACTGCCTCTCTCCACTGCCTACAGGGTTGTGATCTCAAACAATTCTCTTCATCTTTTGTGTAGCTATAAGAGGCATGAATAGGATCTATCATATAGGACTCTTGTGAGGATTAAATTAGTTAATATATAAAGGACTTAGTGTATGCTTTACACATGGTAAGCACATACAAATATTTATTCTTATTCTGTTTAGTAAGAATCAGTAAAGACTATTCTTACTCTGTTTAGTCCTGGGATTACTTCATTCTTGGATGAGCAGTCATTCCCATTCTAAATGTCACATCTTGGCTATTTCAATGAGATATTTCTTCTTAATACTGGTACGATGCCAAATGACTAAAGGACAAAATTAGTTTCTTTGAAATTCTTATCTTCTCAGGATGTTCCTTGATATTCAACTCCTTCCCTTTGGTTTTAATGCACTTGGAAGAGAGCCATTGGTATTTACATTGGCAGGATTCAGTGATTAAAGATGGCAACGATAAACATTTTAATTGTAACCAGTGCTGGTTGTTTGAACAATGGTAATGGAAAAATTTTTACAAGTGATCTGTATATATGAGTAAGGAGTTTGTGTTTCTGTTTTTCTTTTTCATTTTTAGTGTCTGGTTTTCTGAATTATGAATAACATTTAGTGGGTATGAAAATCAATTTTGTCTTTTTTCTCTGTATAAAAAATTGTAAATACAGATTCTCTAGTTAGTACTTACATGATATTTTGTTTTTGTACGATACAAACTTTATGGTTATAGTGACTATATTTTGCTAAAAAAACCATAATTTGCATTTGTGGTAGAAATTTTCCTCTTTATAACCGCTTCTCAAAGCCTCACTGAATTCTGAACCTATTCAGATAATTAATAGAATAGATACATGTAAACACTGCATGCAGTATTTTGAGTGTTATTTGGAATGTTAAAGTAGTCTTCTCTTGAAGATTTTAAAAGATTTATTTATTTATTTGAAAGTGAGAGAGAGAGGCCTTCCATCCACTGGTTCACTCCCCAATTGGCTACAATGGCCGTAGCTGTGCTGATCCAAAGCAGGAGCCAGGAGCTTCTTCCAGGTCTCCCACGTGGGTGCAGGGACCCAAGGACTTGGGCCATCTTCTACTGCTTTCCCCAGCCATAGCAGAGAGCTGGATCAGAAGTGGAGCAGAGCCGGGACTTGAACTGGCACTGAACCGGCGATCATATGAGATGCTGGTCCTGCAGGCGGTGGCTTTACCTGCTATGCCACAGTGCTGGCCCTGGATATTTTTTCTTATTCCACTTTTTTTCAAACCTAAATATTAATAGCTTAGTTGTTTTCAAAACTGCCCAAGGAAGACTACAATCTTCCCTTTATATGGATCATTGACACTGTTAATAGATTTTCATACAGAGTTAAAGAAATTAGGAAGATACTAGTTTTGCAGGTTGTTTTTTACAGGTTGTTGTAAGTAAAATACTAGCTTTTCTCTGAGTAATAGATAACTTTAAACAATACTGTAGTTTTCAAATTCAGAAAATAACATGAACATTTTCTCAGTGTTTAAGACTGTACTGGTGGCCAGCGCCACGGCTCACTAGGCTAATCCTCTGCCTTGCGGCGACGGCACACCAGGTTCTAGTCCCAGTTGAGGAGCCGGATTCTGTCCCGGTTACCCCTCTTCCAGGCCAGCTCTCTGCTGTGGCCCGGGAGTGCAGTGGAGGATGGCCCAAGTACTTGGGCCCTGCACCCCATGGGAGACCAGGATAAGTACCTGGCTCCTGCCATCGGATCAGCGTGGTGCACTGACTGCAGCGTGCCGGCCGTGGCGGCCATTGGAGGGTGAACCAATGGCAAAGGAAGACTTTTCTCTCTGTCTCTCTCACTGCCCACTCTGCATGTCAAAAAAAAAAAAGAAAGAGAAAGGACTGAGAAAAGACTGTACTGGTAAAGGTATTTTTTGTAGTTTTTGTGATAGTAATTCACTGTGTTCAAATCCATCCCAATCCCCATCTTCCATGCATTCATTCATCACAGAACAGGAAACCATTTGTTATTATTTCAAAGTATAATTTTTTGATAGGTTGAAATTATTTCTTACATTATTGTAGGTGGGGGAGGCACTTATTTATTGATGTAATGGAATTTTTGGCAGTTTTAAGCAAATACCTTTATACAGAATCTCTTGTATCTTTTTGTCACTGTATCGTAAGCTCTTCCCTGCCTAAAAGTTTTTTTTCCACTGTATTAGCACTAAATACATAAATTCAAACAGAACTCGGTAATGTTATTTCTGATTGGTTTTTGATAATGTTTGGCCTGGTCTGGTAGATTTGTTTGCAGCTGAGTGTGTAAAGTAAATGAAGAGTTATGTTACATATGTTGCAGTGTTTCATTGTTTTCTGTATGATTTTGAAGTTTACAATTCTGTTATTATAGTATACATATAAGTTGTCATAATAAATGTCACATTTAAGCTCTTTTCCAGCTTGTTCTTTTCTTTTAAATAAGAGAATGCAAAATCATATCTCTATGCTTCACATCATTTTTTTTACATGTACTGTTTGGAAGTGAAAAGAAAAGGCACATTGATTGACCTGTATAAATTAACATAATTGTGTGGTCTGAAGTAAAACCAGATTTACACCAATAGCAGTTTCTGAAGTAGCTATGGCTAGGTATTTAGAATAAGCCTGATAAATAAGATGAGTAAGTTTTTATAAAATTAGATTCTGTAATATGTAGACATATGAACACACATTAAATGGCTTTAAAGTATATATATTTTAGTACATTTTTGTTTAATATCATTAGCAGTCAGTTCAGCCAAAGTAATGCAATTCCTTTTTTTTCAGCTTTGCAAATCTGATATTTTCTTTGGTCTGTGGTTTAAGGTTCCTCTGCAGAGCAAAATGGGAGATGCTGAAACAGGCAAGAAGATCTTTATTCAGAAATGTGCTCAGTGCCACACAGTAGAAAAAGGTGGAAAACACAAGACTGGTCCAAATCTCTGGGGTCTCTTTGGCCGAAAAACAGGACAAGCACAAGGATTCTCTTATTCTGATGCAAACAAAAACAAAGGTAAAAACCAATAGTTGTGGGAGAGAACCACAGACTTTGTAGCAAAGAAGAAAGCACATGATACAGCATTATAATTTACTAATTTGCAGCCTTAAAAATGGACCCCTATGTTTATATGAAATAATGATTTGTATTATAATACCTGCTTTAGAATAACAACATCCTTTTGATCAGAATAATTAAAAATCATGTGTGGCACAGGTTCTTGCCTATGTGGGATATTTTATTTTATTCAGTGCGTAATCTTGAAAACCGTGAGCTAGTTTTTTTTAAAAATTGAATATTTTAATGGTATAATAGTGATTGTGATTGATTTTTTCTGGGTGGAAAGGGTACAACAGTAATTAAAGTGAGAAAGCATTTTAGGATTGAGATTAAAAATGGTTAGGGAAGAGTATATCTTTGAGAAGCAATTTGTTACTCCTGGATGTGGGTGTGTGTCTTTGTGTGTTTATTTAACTGGATTGCTGTATCAGATTTTCTTAAACAACAGTACAATTCTCTTTTGAATTTTTTTTGTGGCTTAGCATATCATATAGGTTAGAATTTCAGATCACTACTATTTTTAATTTATTTTTATTGAAGCGAAATCTATGTAACATACAATGAGCCATTTTATAGCATACATTCCGTAGCATTTAGTGCATTCACAATATTCTATAATGAGTCCTTCTTAGTTTCAGAACTTTTTGTTTTTATCATTCCAGAGTATCTGCACTCATTAAGTAATCTCTCCCATTTTCTCTTATTCCCATTCCCTGGCAACCACTGATCTACTTTCTATCTCTTTGGATTTGCCTATTGTATAATTTATATAAAAGGAGTCAGATAATATATGAATTTTTTGTGTCTGGATTCTTTCACTTAGTGTGATCTTTTCTTTCTTTCTTTTTCTTTTTTTTTTTTTATGATTTTATTTATTTATTTGGGAGGAAGAGTAACAGTGAGAGGGAAGAGACAGAGACAGAAGTCTTCCATCCGCTGGTTCACTTCCCAGATGGGTGCAATGGGTAGAGCTGGGCAGATCTGAAGCCAGGAGCTAGGAGATTTTTCCTGATCTCCCACGTGGGTGCAGGAGCCCAAAAGCTTGGGTCATCTTCTACTGCTTTCCCAGGCCATAGTAAAGAGCTGGATCGGAAGAGGAGCAGCTGGGACTAGAACCAGTGCCTGTATGGGATGCTGGAGCCACAGGCAGAGGACTAACCTGAGCCACAGCACCATCCCCAGCATGTTCAAGGCTCATGTGTTAGTACCTCATTCTCTTTAATAGTTGAATTTCAGGTAATGACATGCAGCTGCATACTTCCAGTCTCTTTGTCATCACATGTTCCCTGGGTGTCTCTGGCTTCACATGGCTATTTTTAATAAGGACGCTAGCCACATTGGATTAGGGACCCATCTTATTCCAGTGTGACCTCATTTCAGCTTAACTAATCACAGCTACAGTGACCTGTTTTCAAACACACCCACATTCTGAGCTAATGGGGGTTAGTAGCTCAACATATCTTTATTTGTGAGACATCCATATAAAAGGGTATTATAGATATAAAACAAATCCATAGATAATTGATAAAATACCCATACTGTAAGTAGATAAGGACAATCATATGGTGCTGCATTAGACACCCTGCTTGGGACACCCACCTGCTTGGGTGTGTGAGTTCATATCCAGGTGTGTGAGTTCAAGTCCTGGAGACGCTCTAGGTTCTAGCTTCCTGTTAATGTACACCCTGGGAAGCAGTGGTGATGCCTTCAGTGATTGTGCTCCTGCCACCCACATGGGATTGAGTTCCTGGTCCTGGCTTTGGCCTGGCCCAGCCCCATCTGTTGTGCACATTTGGGGAGTGAACTAACAAATGAGAGCTCTCTGTCCTTCTGTCTCTCCTTTCACAAATAAATTAAAATAAATAAAAAAGGTAAATAAAAAATAATGTAATCTTTATGTCAGGAATATTTTGCCATCTTTAAAAATATCAGTATATTGGCCGGCGCCGCGGCTCAATAGGCTAATCCTCCGCCTGCGGTGCCGGTACCATGGGTCCTAGTCCTGGTCGGGGCACCGGATTCTGTCCCGGTTGCTCCTCTTCCAGTCCAGCTCTCTGCTGTGGCTTGGGAAGGCAGTGGAGGATGGCCCAAGTGCTTGGGCCCTGCACCCGTCTCTCTGGGAGACCAGAAGGAAGCACCTGGCTCCTGGCTTCGGATCAGCATGGTGCGCCGGCCGCAGCCCGCTGGCCACAGCAGCCATTGAGGGGTGAACCAACGGCAAAAGGAAGACCTTTCTCTCAGTCTGTCTCTCACTGTCCACTCTGCCTGTCAAAAAAAAAAAAAAATATCAGTATACTTATTATTGACACAATATTGTTGTATTTGGGATGTGAAGAATGTTGGCTAATAGGTGTTATGTAACAATTTGTTCTTTGTTGTGAGTTTCTGGAAGGAACCTCTGAAACGCTGTAATTTCTCAGATGACAGGAGTGTCTTTTTTTATCATAGTTGGCACCTGGCATAGGACATGAGGTTATAATAAGATGACTCATGATGAGCTCCTAGATACATTCAGGATTAAGACTGACCTTGCTTAAAAGAGCAACCATGTGATTAGAGAATTAGGACTTTGAGTTTGGTGATGTTAGTCCAACCTCTAGGTGTCAGAATGGGGGCTAGAGACTAAGTCCAGTCATGGAGCCAGTGCGTCAGTCAGTCTTGCTCAAGTGATGAAATCCCAATTTAAAATTCTGGAGTGGGTGTTGTGGTACAGTAGATTAAAGCTGCTGCTTGGGATGCCTGAGATTGAGTCCTGCCTTCACTTCTATTCCAGCATCCTGCTAGTACTCCCACTGAGAAGCAACAGGTTATGCTCAAGTAGTTGGGTCCCTACCACCCATGTGGGAGAGACCTGGCTTTGGCCTGGTCCAGCCCTAGCTGTTATGGACATTTAAGGAGTGAACCAGTGGATGGAAGATCTCTCTCTGTCACTCTGCCTTTCAGATAAATAAAGACAAGACAAAACTCTTGTGTTTGAGATCCTGCCAGACCTCTTCCTATGGTTCTGGATCTAGCTGGTCCGGATTTGTATCTTTTATCATTAAACTATAACTGCTAAGTAGAGTGTTTTTTTGAGTTGGTGGGTTGTTCTGGGGAATTATTAAGTTTGAAGAGATTATGGGAACTGCCAATTTTTTCTGGTCAGAGGTTTGAGTGGCCTGAACTTGAAGCTGGCATCTGAAGTGAGAGTGGTCTTTTAGGGGACTGTGGAGTCTGTACCTACAATGAGCAGTTTGTGCCAAACTTGCATTGCATAGGATTTTCAGTTCACAGACTACTGAAAAGAGTCAGTTAGACTTTTAAAAAAAAATATATTAGAGAACAAGAGAGAGATACAGAGACAAGAGAGCTTCTTTCCTTTGGTTCACTCCCTATACTCATACCATTACATTTTCCACTTTAATCATTTTAAGCATATAATTCTGTGGCATTAAGCACATTCTCATTGCTTTGCAACTGTTCATTTACAGAATATTTTTGTTTCTTTCAAATTGAAACCTGTACCAATTAAACAGACATCAATAACCATCATTCTACTTTTTGTCTTTGTAAATTTTACTACTTTAGTTATCTGATGTAAGTGGAATCTGACAGTATTTTTCCACTTGTTACTAGATTAGTTCAGTTAGTGTAATGACTTCAAGGTTCATCCATGTTGTATTGTGTCAGAATTTCCATCTCCTTTATCACTGAAAAATCCTCACCTGTATATGGTTAGAAGCACATTTTCCTTATTCATCAGTGGAGACTCAGGTTGCTTCCACCTCTTGGCTATTGTGAATAATGCTACTATGAACTTGGGTGCACAAATATCAGTTGTATTTTCATTTCCTTTGGATATATATTCAGAAGTGGAATCATAGAATCCTATAATTGTATAAATAACTTTTTGAGGAACAGCCATGCCATTTTCCACAGTGGCTGTACCATTTTATGTTCCCACCAGCAGTGTACAAGAGTTCCATTTTCTCCACATCATTGCCAACACTTCTTATTTTCTGATCTTTTGATAGTGGCCTTCCTAATATATATGACGTAGCATCTCCTGTGGTTTTGATATGTATTTCCCTAACAGTTAGTGAGGTTGAGTCATCTACATTGTGTTTTTAAAACATCATTAAGTGGAAAGTGAAAATAGTATTTGTATGGTGCATTGAAGTGCCATTGCATTTTTGGGCAGTAATAATTGAAGCAAGTTTTTGAAATAAATTGTTTGAATTAATTTATGATTTTTCCAGAGTTGTATGTTAATAAGTGACAGAACTAGGATTCAAACCGAAGTTTTCTTGGGACTTTAAAGAAATCAAATCATGGGGTAGCATATTAGCTAAACAAACTTATTAGTGATTAGTCTTTGTTGTGTCTAATCTTGTTAATGCATGCAGTCGGATGCACTGAGTTACAAATGTGTCAGTAACTAAAGTATTTTGATGTTCATGTTCATTATGCAAAAATTCATATAATCAAAAGAATCCTTCCCAGTACGAATGATCAGGGAAATATGTATATTCATTTTTCCCAACCTTTCCCTAGTCCTCTCTCTTTATTGAATAATTTTGGTAAAGTCTGTAATCTCAGTATCCATATTTATATTTTAAGTAATATCCATGTGCTTCTGTTATTTATCTACTTTAAGCAACATCTGTTTATTCTCCACCATGAGGGGTTAGAAAATCAAAGTGTTTATGTTTCCCATTTTTTCACACTGTCTCCTAGCTCCTTTTACTCTGATATCATTTATACTATTACAGCCCACATGACCATAATTATACCACAGTTGTTTCAACATTTGTTCTACATTTAAATGGCATCAATGGGTATTCCCAATTTTTAAGTGTCTTCATCTTTTGGTTTATAGATGATTATATGATACTAATTACACCAAGAAAAAATTACTTGGAAGAATGTTATCTCAGTTCTTGGATATCTGAAAACATCTGAGGATTTTAATTACATTTCAATGGCAGTTTGGTTGGGCATAAAATTTTGGGGAGACAAAATTCTCAGTATATTGTACACTTCATGTTAACTTATGGTTTGGAGAAATATGTAACTAGCCTGATGGCTATCCTAAATGAGTTACTTGGTTATATTCTTATTTTATTCTTTTCCCCTGAGTCTCAATAAAATTCTATTGAAATTTAGTAACTTTGTTTGGTTATGTCTAGGCACCTATTGAAATCTTTCAGTATATTCTAGAACATGTTGTGTTCTTCTAGTTAGATTCAAGCTTTTTATTTTTGAAAGTTTTCCTGAAATCTGTATTTTAATTATTTTCTGCTATTTAATTTGTTTTTAAAAATTTTACTTGGGTCAGCAGTTGTGTGGATTGTGAATTTCCTTTGTCTGAATATTGTTTCCGCTTTGATCTTAGAGCTAGAAAAATTATTTTAAATTCATTCTTCTTTCTATCTTTTTAAATTAATATTTTGAATCCTGATTGTTCCATCAGCAACGTGTGTTTCTTTTGGTGTAATTTATATATTTTTGTTTTATCAGTTTCTACTTGAGCCTTCTAACTGCAGTGAGTCCTTGAACTATAAAGATTATTTTTGAACGCTGGAAGTATGTTCATGATTTTTATCTGCCTAATGTACATACTTTTTGATGCATAGTTTTCATTTAACTTTTGTTCTTTTTATTCCCTTCTGCTGTGTGTTTGTGTGTGGTGAGTATATGTGTCTGTTGTGTATATTTATTTTCAGTACTCTTGTGCTGATTCCTTTTGGTTATTATTCATATTTTGATGGGGAAAATTCTTCTTGGACTAGTTATTTGTAGAAGGATAGTAAGGGTGAGTCTGACAATTCCAGTTATGTTTTGTTTGGGGTGTCAGTTGACTCTTTACTGCAGCTTGCAAAGACTGGCAGCCCTAGGTTTATGCAGTCTCTGCAGTTTCTCTTCTGTCCTGTAACAAGTTGGAGTTCTTTCAAAGATGGCATGTTTGTGTTTTCTTTTTCGTCTTCTATTTTTTTTTTTTTGGACAGGCAGCGTTAGACAGTGAGAGAGAGAGAGACAAAGAGAAAGGTTTTCCTTTCCGTTGGTTCACCCCCAAAATGGCCGCCAGGGCCGGCATGCTGTGGCTGGTGTGCTGTACAGAACCGAAGCCAGGAGCCAGGTGCCCCTCCTGGTCTCCCACGCGAGTGCAGGGCGCAAGCACTTGGGCCATCCTCCACTGCACTCCCGGGCCACAGCAGAGAGCTGGACTGGAAGAGGAGCAACTGGGATAGAATCCGGTGCCCCGACTGGGACTAGAACCCAGGGTGCTGACGCCGCAGGCGGAGGATTAGCCTAGTGAGCTGCGGCGCTGGCCTGTGTTTTGTTCTTTAGTCCTTGCTTTCCCGGCTTTTGATAGTGTATACTGAATTCTTCTTCTCTTGAGATCATTGGTATAAGTATCCTCTCATTTTGGTCTAGGTTTCATGTCTTTGTTGGTTATCCAGTAGTGTAAAATGTAAGGTTATAGGTGCTTCTTCAAGAGTTTTATAGGGCTTGTGTTGTGGTGTAGTGGGTTAAGCTACTGCCTTTAGCTCTAGCATCTCATATAGGTGCCAGTTTGAGTCCCAGCTGCTCCACTTCTGATCCATTTCCCTTTCCAATGTGCCTGGAAAAGCAGCAGTGGATAACCCAAGCGCTGGGCCCCTGCCCCTATGTGGGAGACCCAGAAGAGGCTCCCGCCTCCTGGCTTTGGCCTGGCTCAGTCCTGGCCATTGTGGTCATCTGCAGAATGAACTAGCAGATGGAAGATCTCTTTCTTTCTCTCTCTCTGCCTCTGCCTCTTTGTAACTCTGTCTTTCAAATATATAAATAAATCATTTTAAAAAAAGAGTTTAATGAAAAGTGGAGCTAGCATTTCTGTTTCTCTTTGTCCATATTCTTTTTGACTAGTTATGGAAAGGAGAAATAGACAGCCTTTCTCTATCATCTTAAACCTGAATTTATGAAATTATAGATTTTTATAGAAATCTGGGCAGAGGTACTTGGTGTGTTTGGTAGAATGAATGTGGAAATTGAGTTAGTAGTCACAAATTCTTAACTCTAAAGTAATTTTGTCATATTAAGGCAATTACTTTCCTTTCTCTGGGTTATCAACTTGTCATCTACTTGGGTTAAGTGATCTCCAGGATCTTTTCTATCAGAAACTATCTGTGGCCGGCGCCGCAGCTCACTAGGCTAATCCTCTGCCTGTGGCGCCGGCACACCGGGTTCTAGTCCCGATCGGGGCGCCAGATTCTGTCCTGGTAGCCCCTCTTCCAGGCCAGCTCTCTGCTGTGGCCAGGGAGTGCAGTGGAGGATGGCCCAAGTGCTTGGGCCCTGCACCCGCATGGGAGACCAGGAAAAGCACCTGGCTCCTGCCTTCGGATCAGCGCTGTGTGCCGGCCACAGCGGCCATTGGAGGGTGAACCAACGGCAAAGGAAGACCTTTCTCTCTGTCTCTCTCTCTCACTGTCCACTCAGCATGTAAAAAAAAAAAAAAAAGAAACTATCTGTGATTCTAGAAGCTGAAGTGCTGCTTAGGTGGAACATGAATGGATATAGTATAGTTTATTGTTATACTTTGGATAATCCTAAACAGCTTATAACTACTAGATTTCTACAGAGAAGTCAGGAGTGGAGATTAGTTTTGGAATTTTCTTCTAAGTTAGAATCTATAAATATTCTCATTATAATTACCTTGCTATTGAGTGCTAAGGCAGTCTTATTCACATATTTGGATCACATCAGAAAGTTAGCCCTACCAATGTCATTACACAAACTGAAAGCATATTTTCACCTTTGTAGGTATTGTCTGGGGAGAAGATACTCTGATGGAATATTTGGAGAACCCAAAGAAATATATCCCTGGAACTAAAATGGTCTTTGCTGGTCTTAAAAAGAAGACTGAGAGAGAAGATCTTATTCAATATTTGAAACAGGCCACGTCTTCATGAAATGCTATTGCGGCTTCAAAAATAGCAGTTATAAGCCAGAATTTTCCAATTTTAAATATTGTGTCTTTTAAAAAGTCATATTTGATCTTTCTTGATCAGCGTATAGTAAATATAAAGGTTTAAAATAAAGGTTGATGTAGTTGATGTGTTTAGTGCTGATCACATGCACTCCACTGTGAATGTGTGTTTGCTCACTAAGGATGTGGAGAGATCAAGATGGAAGAGGAGAGGGAAGGAAACTGAAATCTATTGTGCTTCTGTAGTCAAAACACACACACAATATTTTATAAGCCTAGCAACTGATATTGATGATGGAGATAGTGTCCATATAGTTATTTCTCTGTAATTTAAATACAAATCTAAAAGACATTAGCTTTAGTTTTCATTCAGCTGTGCTTAGTTATTTGTTTTGCTTTTACTGTAAGCAATATTTAAAGTAACTTTAGGGGAAAAAAGTAAAGAAAATGAAATTAAGTAGTTGACTTTATCTTGAGAATATTTTCGGGAAAAAGAGTGAGTTGTTGATTTTGAGTGATATATAATAAAACCAATGGGGGGAGAAAAGCATGTCCTGTATTAATAAACATTTATATCATATAACATGTAATCTTCTTTTATTCATATTTTTACAAAACCTTGCCAGGTATACCCAGTATTACTAAGTAATATAAAGTTGGCTACAGGGAGACCTTGAGAGAAAGGGAGGAAAGAAGACACAGCGCCACCTCACCATAAATATAGAAAGAGGCCCTACCCTACTGTAATGGGAGGGAGGCTGGGTGGGTAGGTCTATATCTGGAACCATGTGGAGAGTGAGGCAGACTGTGAAACAGCTATGTAGTACCACAAGTACTCTATCAACCAAATGATACTGTTCAATGTCAGAAAGAGAAGCTCTTTGCTGTCAAAATGGTAGATGGTCAGTCAGCTGGTCAAGGGTCACTGTGATAAGAATAGGCCATCCATGATCTAATTTGGACTTCACTCCCTGTGAAGTGAGTTTTCCCTTCTATCAATAAAGAAATATATCAATATCAATATACAAAGATCCAGAGAGATTTAGAGCCAGAACCAAAGACTTGGATCTTCTACTTTAATTTGTGATGACTTTTCACCATCATCCTAAGGATGGTAGGTGAGCTGGTTAACTTAGCAGATACCACTACCATGAAGATACCCTAATAGAAAATTCTCAGAGTAAGGGAAACATAATTGACAAAGCAGTGATTTCCAGAAGATTCCATTAAATACTTTTAAGTGCCCAGGCTTACTCTCTTTTTAAAAAATATATTTATTTATTTGACAGGTAGAGTTACAGACAGTGAGAGAAAGGTCTTCCTTCCGTTGGTTCACTCCCCAAATGGCTGCTACGGCTGGCACTGAGCCAATCCGAAGCCAGGAGCCAGGTGCTTCTTCCTGGTCTCCCAAGCAGGTGCAGGGGCTCAAGCACTTGGGCCATCCTCCACTGCCCGTCCAGGCCACAGCACAGAGCTGGACTGGAAGAGGAGCAACCGGGACTAGAACCCAGTGCCCATATGGGATGCCAGCGCTGCAGGCGGAGGATTAACCAAGTGAGCCACGGTGCCGGCCCCCAGGCTTACTCTTGATGCTTCTGCAAATGGGGGAATGTACTCTTTATGGAATCCAGGGTCAGCATTTTCTTGGAAAGTGTGCTTCTGGCTGCCAAAGGAAGATTTCAAGCTAAGCTGAACTTGTTACTCTCTCCCTGAAGGGATTTTCTGATGAGGGTAGAGATGCCTGTAGGGATGCAATAGAGTATTTAGAGCTGAGTTGCCTTACAAAGATGAGAAATTAAGTGTCACACCTCAAATCCTAATTGGCATGAGGCCAGAGAACTGTGAAAAATAACTTGAACTCAATTCACATTGATAATTGCAGTTCAGATTTATGCAAACTTAACAGATGGACTTGGTGGCATTGATAAAAAAAACACTTTGCAGCGAAGAGTAAGAGGGCTTCATGTTTAGAGTTTAAATACTTCTGACTTAGAAAAAGTAGGAGGAAGACAGTATAAAGAGAACTGGAAATGATAAGAAGCAACTGGATGGCAATGAGGTGTGCCGGCCTGCGGCACGATGAACTGGGTTTTCCTGAAACAGAGAGTGGGAATGCGGGGACAAGGACGCAAAGAATGGAGCCAAGACAAGTCCTGATCAAGGCTCGTTTATTGAATAAATCCAGTAGTATTTAAACATGACCAGTTGTTTACAAGAAGGAGCACAAAAGATTTACATATCAAAAAGGCTCTTACGGTTACAAAGAGTTCCCGATAAGGTTCTTAATTATTGATTACAAGGGTACAATAAAACACTTAGGTGATAAATGCAGGTTATAGGTGTGACTGATTATCTGTATCATTTCTTGTGAAAGGTTTAGGTTCTTCCTGCCTCTTCCCGGAATCTCCCTAGCCCAATTGTCTGTGCCGGGGAAGTCTCCATATGTTTAAGTGTAAACAAAGGGAGTGACTACCTGTGGCTGCCCACAATGAGGAAATATTAAGTAGATTTCTATTTTGAAAATTGTTCAATTAGTGATGGTGTGTTGAATGCTGCTTTAAATTTATGTTTATCTTAGAGAAAGTAAGTACCTCTTGGCTGGTAACAATCTGTCCTATTAAGTAGAAAAGAAAGATTGGAAGAAATTTTGCACTTGAATCCAATAATTCTATATTGTGGCAGCTTTTTAAAATTATTGTTATTGAATTGCTATCTCCAAGAACCATCTTGGGATCAATTTATATGAAGGGACTTCTGGAAAATGTGGAGATTTAATACTGTGTCAGTTTTGCTAAACTGGAACTTTAGTTCCAGAATTCTTTTCTCAATATGGTTCCCAATTAGGGCTCATCATAAAAGAACTTTGTCTGATATTTGGAAGGCAGGAACCTATTCATTTTGGAGGCCAGTTTAGGGCCACAGATACAACCTTTACTTGTTTGTCACTAATCTGTTGGCTCACCTTTGTGTGGTGGGGCAGCAGCTCCTCTGACTCCTGCCAGGGCATGTCTTTCAGTTTCTCAGAGACCTGGGACAAGGTTACGTGAAGCTTTGAGGGGTGAGATCCCAGCTTCTTCAGGTCATTCATATCCAGCTTTGAAATGGTGAGGACAGATGATATGGATATGATCTGACCTCACAGTTTTGTCCTTGTTCTCTCTATTTTGCTTGCAGCTTTTCATCCCAACTGCTGACCTACAGCAGCTTCAGGTCCTTCACTGGATAAAGAGCCAACAACAGTCTCTCTCCTTGGACCACATTTAAGTCAGGCTCCTGTCTAAGCCTTCTTCTTGACTAGGCCTCAATCTTTGGCTCTGTCTTTGGCTCAGTCCAGTTTTAGCAAGTATCCTGATAAAATAGTCCATCAAAAATACCTGCTGTGGCCTCATTTTAGCAAGAATCCTGTCAGATTGGTTTAACTAGAATCCCCCCATCACCCCTGATATTTCCTCTTAGTACTTTCCACCCAGTGACCTTCCATCCTGCTCCTGGGCCATAAGTCTCCACTTGTTCTTACTGTATTCATGAGCTCAGTCTCTGTCCCCTATTGCAAAAACCTTACTATAGTACATCTCCTTCATTAAATTCTTCCGTACTGTCTTTAACAAGTGTCATGATAACTCTTACGCAGCAACAACCTTCCATATGTTCTCTGTCAGCTGCTCTCTGTGGTCTTAGTGACTTTCCTCGATCCTTTAGCTGTCCCCTTTTGGACGTCTGTCTTTTCAAATTCTCCCCAATTATGTAATCTCAACAATAAATCCCTTACATCTATTGTAGTGGTCCTGCTTACCTTTCAAACCCTGACTGATACAAGTGCTGCATCTGAGCAACACATGAGCACCTCTGAGGATATTAGTCTCTGAATACTCTTCAGCCTAAATCGGGTGTACCTTGACAGAGCAGAGGGAAGAACGGTTACCTTTTATTGCTGTCTAAAGTTGTGGAGTCATTAAAGTCTCCCAGTGTCTTCTAAACTTGAGTTAAATATTTGGCAGGGGAAAGATTGACGATAATCAGGGAATAGATGCCCATGATGATAAAATCTAAAACATTAAGTGTCCTTATTTTATAGCACCATTAACATGAATCAGGAGAGGTTAGTGACCAGGAAATGTTATGCTGATGTCATATGAACAAAAGCATCCTTGAAAAATATTGCAGACAGTTGGATAATTATATAACATTTATCATTTTTAGCATAGGCAATAGGCAATTCTAATATTTATCTTGAGGTGGATATGGGAGAATAAAGTATTGTTTCTTTTAATTAAAGTAAAAATGTGAGGTCTGTTACCTTGGCAGTTATTTGTATGTTACAGAGGAACAGAGAGAACTCTTCAGAAAGCAGTGTGGAACAGTATTGTATCTTGGATTCTTAAAACGTTTTAAACTAACAAGTGAAGTACTTAGATGTAAACCTCTGGTCAGTAATTCTCATGCAAACAGTATGCCACTTATTTTTCTTTTTTGCATTTTTATTTCTTTTAAAAATACTTTTATTTAAGATATACACATTCCATATACACAGGTTTGGGAAAAAGTGATACTTCCCACCCTACCTTCTCTCCCTCCCATGCTCCCACCCTTCTTCCCCCTCCCTCTTCTATTCCTACTCTTAATTTTTACAAAGACCTATTTTCAGCTTTATACTTACAAGATTAATCCTACACTAGGTAAATAGTTCAACAACTAGTATGAAGAAAAAATTGTTCTGCAACTGTAGAGATAAGGGCTGTAAACAATCATCGAATATCACTTATTTTTCAAGAATAATTTTTTGAACTAAATCCTGTGTCCTACAAGACTTGTAAACTACAGCATAATTTTGAGAGTACATTTTTTGTTTGTTATCTCTCCTTATCACATTTTTTTAAAAAATACTGAGCATGGATATAAGTGTAGAATCAAATTTCCTTCTTTGCATTTTCCACATGTGATCATTTTCATCAATTTTACAAATTCCCACAGTTCTTCCAACTTGACTTCCTCATTGTGTGTGAAGCAGGGCCTCATGAAGCACAGAAAATTATGTGAGTAAGGCAGGTGGGAGTGGGGACCCCCCCAAAGGGTTGGGGGGTTGCATGAGGATGTGAGTTGTGACAGGCAGAGAGAGCTGCAAAAAGGGCAGTATTTTTTAAAGGATTATTTATTTATTTGAAAGAGTTACACAGAGAGACAGGAGGCAGAGAGAGAAAAAGAGAGAGAGAAAGAGAGAGAAAGAAAGAGAGAGAGTGAGGTCTTTCATCCGCTTGTTCACTCCCCAATTGGCTGCAATGGCCGGAGCTGTGCTGATCCGAAGCCAGGAGCCAAGAGCTTCCTCGGGGTCTCCCACAAGGGTACAGGGGCCCAAGGATTTGGGCCATTGGAAGTGGAGCAGCTGGTACTAGAACTGGTGCCCATATGGGATGCTGGTGCTTTAGGCCAGGCGTTAACCCACTGCGCTACAGTGCTGGCCCCAAAGGGTGGTATTTCTTCATCTGTGAAATGTATGGAGTTGGGCTAGGTCTCTCATTTTCAGTTATATTTTATTTGCAGAATGTTGAAATATAGTCCTGCAAAGAAAATTCAGTGTT